ACGAATACTGGCAAGGCCAGGAATCTCTTGAACCGTGAATAGAAGCTTGTGGGTATAATTTAACAAATTCCTTATGAAAGACCTGGTGGTCGAAGGACTAATTAATTTGCCATTACGAAACTGGACAGAAAATACTGCATTCTAATACTATAATGTTATGGTTTATATGTAATGAGTCTTCCTGGGTGCAGATCCATTGCACTTTGGAGTTGATAAAGTATGAAAACGTACTTAGTTAATTTTGTGTTGCAGATTTGTCCTTTGGCTCTCCCTCTGAACAATGAGATGTGCAAAGGGCAAACTGATTTTAACGAGCTGCATCTGTTTCATACTGTGGGTATTGTCTGAGGACAAGTCGTGCTGCATTCTCTGTTTCTCGTTATTAATGTGGAATCCAAATTAAATCCGGAGCAATCTCCGTTGTGCAGCAAAGGGCTCTTGTGTGTAACAGTGCTTCCCTCTAGTGTCTGTAGCCTCTCAGTCCTTCCTGGATTTCAGAGAAACATTTTGTGTTCTGCAGTTGAAAAGGCTTTTTCCTTCTTTTCCTCTGTTCATCTGTGTTCTCTTTCTGGGCCTCATTGCTACAGTAACACTGAACAGTGTAGACAGTCTCGTGTCCATGTCACTCAGGGCTCTTGGTGCTGAAAGAGAGTGACCTTCTGGACACTGAATGTCACTTGCCTGGTTCTCCTCTGGCCCCACACTAGCACTGTTGTCACTCATAGTACACACACATTTATACAGGTAGATGTTTTGTTTGTTTGTTTCCTTTTTTAAAAAAAATTATTTCAAATTCCTGAACTAATGAGAGGGCTTTGTGCCAGAATAGGTACATGGTTTGTCCTGGGATGGCATGAGGGACTGCAGGGAGCTGCCCAGAAGGTTTCCTGGGGCTCAGTTGGAAGAGTGTTCTGGTCAGGAGGAGCCAGATTTGGTGCAGTGTGTGTTCGTAGTCACCTATCTGGCATGAACTGGGCCAAACCATTGTCAGCTGTGCCTCGGCTGTGTTTTGGAACAAACAGAGGACTGCCTCCAAATGTGAGCCCAGGAATAAACCAGGTGGTGTTAGTGCAGGTGATCCCAGGAGCACAGCCCTGGAAGGGGAGTCACATTGCCTGGGCAGGGACAGGTACCCAGGGACACCACCTGTAGTGCTTGTTTGGTGCCTCTGGACTCTTTTGATAATCAAACTTTATTTAGAACCAGTTTCATGTTGTTACAAATGGCATCACAGAAATGTAAGAATGAACATTTAACTCTGCAACTTCAACAGGTTCTCTCGAAACAGAGTTCGTTTTCTGGAGAACCAGAGAATACAACGTGAACGTGAAGAGGTAATTATGGATGAACTCATCAACTGCAGGGCTGCAAACATGCCTTTTTCTTTTTGTTGTGAAAAATACCCTTTTGATACATGCAGAATTATATTCTCTAGTTGAGAGGTACAGGAGACAACACACTGATACTACTCTTCCTGATCTTCCAAAGTTTCATTTGCAGAATTACATGCAAATTCATGTAATTAAAATACAAAAAAATGTCAAATCTGAAATGGAAGCTTGGTCAGGAAAAATGAGAGAGAGAGAGATCTATTCAAATGCTGGTTTATTACCTCTCCAGCTTAGCACAATTATCTGCCATACACAAAATGAGAAACCATAATGTTTCTTTTCATTTGCTCTCTGTTAAGAATTTATGAACTGAAATGCTGTTGCACTATCAGAATTCGCTGTTGCTGATGGGTTTTTTCCCTGACTCAAAGCTTTTTCTGAATTGTGAATAATGCAAATCTTTAATGACTATCCTTTATTGATTGATAATTATGGTTGTTAATTATATTGCCCAAAGTAGTTTTGCACATGTTTCAGCTTCTGCTAAGCCATAATTGTGTAGTCTAGGACTCAACATGAAAATGCATTATGAATGCTGAAATACTGCTGACAATTATTAAAAAAAGGTAGAAGATGTTCTTGTTTTCCTTGAAAAGTCACTATTACTACAGACTGGTTATGTAGGTGGATGGTTTTGCTTGATGGATGCACTGTTGGATTAATTAATAGTCCAAATGGTGCTCTCTGTGCATTTTTGTATTATTCAGGAGTCTCTGAGTTTAAAATGCATCATCTTTTAATTATTTAATTTTCACCTGGTGTGACCAAACCTGTATGATTCAAGCATGTGGTTTTATTAAGAGCTTCAGTTGGCTACATTTTTAATGCCAACACATTCACAGAAGGAACAAAGGGAACCTTTTTTTTGAGTCCTAGGAAATATTGTTGTGATTTTGAACTTTTCCTATCCAATACAGAACAGAAAAAAATCAATCTCCTAAGAATGTAATAAATCTAAGTATCATAAATAAGTAGCATGAAAATAGTTGTACAGGATCAATCAGAAGGCTGATATCAAACTGTATCTAAACAAGTTCACAGTGGCTTTTTAGAACTGAGTCCTTTCTGTTTTCTGCATTAGAACTGGTTTTCTTTATCTTTTGAAACTCATTTTTTTCTGGAATGCATTTTTTATTTCGTTAGCTATATTTCACACACACACAGAGTCCTGATCTTCTCTCATACTTGCCAATTTTTAATATTAAGATTTTAAAAGTTTGCGCTCTGTGAAAATAACAACGTTTTAAAATCTATACAAGTTCCTTAAAAAAAAAAAAAGTACCAAAAAAAACCCCTTAAAATAACTTACCCTTTTTTAAATGTTAAGCTGTACAGGAAACAGCCATCTGCTCCCTCAAGTGATCTACTTGGCCTCTCCATAGATTCTCCACCTCCTGTGGCAAGAGTGGTGCAGGCTGACTCTGCAGTGGCTCCTTCAGGCCCTAGTAAGTGGTAAAAATCCCTTTCCCTTGCAGCCTGCTCTCCTAAAACAAGCCAACAAGAGCTTAGTGGAGGAGTCAAGAAGTTTCTTGTAAGAAAGAAAACAAAGATGCTCCTTTACTTCAAGGATGCTCCTTAAATCTTCTTAAAAGGAGAATTTATATGGTTACCTAGGGAAAAAAATGTAAGGTAGTATAAGGTTCCCTGTAATTTGTTTACAGGGGAAGCAATAATCCTTTTCCCCCATTATGTACATTTGAGTAGTAGAACATGCTCTGTTTTCTACTCCAGTGGGGCCTGTAAAACAGTCTGGGAGTTGCTTGTTCTTGGAAGGCTTGGAAGAAAGAAACATGTCCAGAGTTTTTTCAGGAGGCACTTGGTGTTAGAAAGACTTGGCTTCAGGTGCCCTGAATTACTGTTTGTAGAAGCCCCTCTTTTACCCACTCTAAGTCCATATACTAAAGTTAAAGGTGTGCATGTCCCCCCAGGAATAAATGCCTCGAATTCCATTTTAATCTTTTAGAAATAGTGAAAAGAGCTTTAAGTGGTATCTACCATGTAGAGCACTACTGATGTTGTTCTGGTATTTTAAGGAGATAAATGTCTTGGATCTATTACTTCTCAGAGTTATTAAAATTTTGCCTTTCATGTGATAAACAGCAATTCACTTCAGACACTTTATGGGCCTTCCAAACAAAACTTTACTCTTACAGTGTTCAAAGGAACTAACATCAGCTTAATAATGTTTAAGTGATCATTAATTATTGCTTTGAATTTCAGATGGCATATCTGCCCACCCTGAAGATAAAAACAGGCATCATCCATCAATTTATCCACAGCTGGATTCAGCAACTCCTACAAAAGCTCAGCAATCCCCGTGAGTAGTCTCTTATCAAGGAATGGGAGCAGATAACAGATCCTCAGAGGTATAAGTATTCTGTAATTCAATTAATCAGCCTAGAAAGATCTGAGAACACAGATTTACTACTTTAGCACAAGTGGAAACTACCTGTGTGCTAGACTTTGCTAAACAAGCTTAAAATACACTATTGTGGCAGCACTGTTTGGTCATAGAGAGAGATGTATCTTGACAGGCAAAATATACTTGAGATATCTGTGGCTTTCTGGTGGAGTGCTGCAGGGAAAGGCAAAGACATGAAACAGGTCAGTAAAAGAGTTTAAGGTAGGAGAGGTGTCCTTGTTGAATGGGACACGGGCCCACCTGCCTGTGCTGCTCTCAGTTGTGACATACAGGAAAGACAGACCAGCAAAAAAAAAAAAAGATAATTGGATTATACAGTTTTGATCATTTCTTAGTTACCTTCCACATATTACTCTCTCCTAGATTTGCAACTGAAGCACAAAACCATAATGTGAACAACCCAGCTGGACATACCTATAGCAATGTGAGTAATGCTCATGTTCAGGATAATCATTCTTGTCTGGCAGCTGTCAAAGTGAGAACTGTTTGGATGTACCCTGACTGCTTCCAAATGGGATACAAAAGATCTGTTCTCTGGTCCTCCTCCATACATCAGGGAACACTGGGCTTGGTGACCAGGTCAGCTTTCCTCTTGTGATACCACGGGTGCTAAAATGAAAGAATCTTTCCTTGGGTCCAGCACAATCCCAGGGGAGTTTGCAGAAAGCAGTTGCTCTATTATTTGTGTTTAATTTGTTGCTATGTGAAGCAAGCTGAGATCTCCTCTTATTGCCATGATGTTACTCTGGTGTATTTCCTATACCAAATAAGATGCTAAAAAAAAAAAAAAAAGAAATATAAAAAAAGGAAAACCCCAGAAACACAGCTCACCAAAAAAATCAAACACTTAAACCCTGAGTGCAATGTAAGACAAATGCCATGTGCAGAGAAACAGCCATGACAGAAGGAATGCAAAGAACATGAAGGAGCTTTGAGGTAATGGTATGAATGTGAATGCTGTTCTGTGGTAGGCAGCATGAAATAGAAAAGATGAAAAGCAGCCCTCAAACACATATGTACAGTCCTTATTTTAAACTGCAAATAAGAGCCAGTCTTTGAGTGTGTGTAGTGTAACAAATTACACAGAAGTAAATTATAGAAATGTGTTACAGATAACACTAAAAGATGCTTCAAAGTTTGTGTGGGGAATGGAGATTAATTGGCTTGTTAACTGTTGACCTTAGAACTTCAGCTGCAATAATCTGAGAGTAAAGATAAGCCAGCAGTTATATAAGTTAAATCAAACCAGTTTTCATAGAACAACTTGTTTAAGCATGGTTTTGCTTGATGTCCTTAGCTGGCAACTCTTTTAAGCCCAGTGCCTCTGAACCCAATAAATGTGAAGGCTGGAAAGACACCATTGAATGGACCATCACCAGCAGGTAACAAGTACTGCAAACCACCTGTTTCAGAGAGATTTATTTTTCTTGTTAGAACTTAAGGCCCTTACTTAATGATTGCTTAAGTCTATGGGCAGCAACAATCAATGACAAACTCTTATATTGCCCATGGCTTCTGTTAGAGTCTATCCATTTTGGTATTTAAAGCAGCTGGATCCATAGCAGATAATCTGCTCCTTTCAGGAGGACACTAAAAGTAACATGCAGTAAATATGCTTTTCACTGTCATTTAAATCTGAATGTATCTGCCTGTCTTTATTCTTCAGCCGCATCAAAGACCAAGCCACAATCATCTCATTACTACGAGATAATGGAATTTGATCCCTTGGCTCCCACTGAGTAAGTAACTTTTAAGCCAGACAGAATACAGTTTTCTTACATGCCAAAGGAAAGGTGGCTTTTTCTTCTGAGTGAGAAAACAAACCACACCACTAGACTGAGTTAACTGACCAACTGGATTGCTGATGTACCTGACAGTGGCTGCATTTTGTATGTTTTCTTCCAATACTTATGGCATAACCAATTAAGGAATAAACTCCTATAATGTGCTCATTAAATGGCATCTGTAAAAACAGAGGACTAATGCTGTGTCAAAAATGATCTACTAAAATCCTATCCAGTGATATAGAAAGGTGAATGAAATATGGTAAAGGGTCCTAGTGGAGGAAGCTGGTTGACACTTCAACACAGGTAGTTCTGGAACAAGGTAACCAAAGGAATTGCAGTTCACAGCAATCATGATTTTTAAGAATGTTTTTCTACTGCATGTCAAGAAAATCATCAATTTAAATATAAACTATGAAAAGGAATAGATGGTGGGACTTTCCAGAGGGCCAAAAGAGATTGCAAATTAATATGAAACTAAAGAGATGGCCGAACTCTCCTTTCTACCAGTAAATTGCAAAAAAAAAAAAAAGAAAAAAAAATAGAGCCATCTATACAAAACTTATTTCCAAGGAACCATTGAATTCTGAGGCAGAAAAACCTCAACAAAGCTTTCACTGTTTAGTTTTAATTAGTGCAATAATTGCATGGTGGTACACTTGCCATTTGCTTTTCGCAGTCCTGCTCCCAAACTTGTTTCATCAGAAGTGACAATGTCCAGAGGTATCTCATTAACTGTCTAATCAGAGCAGCACCACAGGGTTGCCTCTTGGTTTCCATGGAAACCTGGGCATCCTGCAACCAAAGCCAGTCTGAGGCAACACTACAAACCCTTGGCAGCTTTGCACTGGTGCCTTCTGTCCAAAGGAAACACCTGTGATGTAATTCCTCCTCTTTCAGAGCTATTTATGAAGAAATCGATGATGTGCTGAAGACAGAAGTTAAAAAGAGCACAGACTGATGAGGGTGGAGGGGGAGTCTTGTCCTGACTACGTTATTCTCTGGTGCTGGTCCTGTGCAGCACTTCCTGTAACCTACAAGTGAATAACACAAGAGGTTTGGGCACAACAAATAATTAGTGTTGGAGTACTAAGCTGTGTGCAGGCTGAAGAGTTACTTGGATCTAACACCTTCACAATTTGTCCTAAATGTTCAGCTGTGTATTCTTCACGGTGACTTGCATGGTTATTTTGAGGTATTTGGGGGGGGGCCTTTAAAATATGACTTCTAAATTCACCTGTGTAGGAAGTAACACTTGACACAAGTAAACAAAAAGGACACTACATTTACAGAAACTGCAGAATCCAGTTTCTGTTTTGGCCTCACTGCTCTCTGTGTTCATCTCCCTGGAAATTTATAAGGGGGTTTTGATATACAGGACTTCTTTCTAAAACTGGGCCTCTTCATAGATATCTGAAGACACAGTGTTACTTTTCTACAATCATATCCTGAATACACATTTTCTGTTTGTTTGGGTTTTTTTATTTCCCTCCTAAAATCCCCCAATATAGAGAACCAAAGCTGGGACATGAGGTGCTGTCATCCATGATTAACAGAACAGAAAAAAACTGCCTGTTCCTATGTTGTTGTTGTTGTTGCTTTTATTTACTCAGTAAATATTGAAGGAGGATCAATTATTTCTCTCAATGTTCCTGCCCTGCAGAGATTGTTCTGGTGAAGGAAAAATTAATTATCTACAATGCAGATGAGCAGTAGTTATCCATTTACTTTAATTAAGTTGTTTAACCCTGTTAATAACAGTTTTATCTTTTAATAATTACAGTGCCTTATCTATTTTAATGCTGAATGTAAACTGTGCACTTTAACAGGTATAGTTCTCTGACTTTATAGTTGATATAAAATTTGAGGACATAGTTCATGTTCATAGCAGATAAGCTAATTTTTTGTGAAATACTGCATTTTAAACATTCCTTATGTTAACTGTTTAAGGGACAAGTTCTCAGCTGGTTTTGCAATTTTTGTAGCATAAAATTCCAAATAAAAGAAAATGCTTACTGAGAAGTTAACTTTCATTGTTTGAGTTTTTGCATATTTCTGTATTCCCTGAAACACCAAATGTAGGTGGGTTTGGAAGTATTTTAGTGTAAATCTGTGGTGTGTCATTGCATAGTCAGCAATGTTGCTGCAGGACCATTAGAACACCTTGCTTCTATCCAAAATACAAGTCTGGGGTTTTTGTAAGCTGAGGTGAAAAGGCAAGTTGTTTTACTCTAATTTCTCTTGTATTATTTGCAGCAGCCTGAGAAAACAGCTGAAAATAGGATTTGAGGTGGATCAATTTTTTCCCTACAGCTTAGTTGTATTGGCAAAACCCACACACTGATGGGTAACAAATCAAAAAGGGCTATTTCAGTGTGGTAATCCATAATGGATGAATGCTGACTGAACCTTCATGTATTTAAAGCAGCAAAATGGTCACAGATAAATGAAAGGGAACTGGCTAATTACGGAGGTTACAGAGCTTGTTTTACAGTTGGAATGTGCTCAGCATCTGCACAAACTTGGGCTTTCAAACTGGGGGGGGGAGAACCTGGCACTTGCCAGGGGGATGTTCCTTTTCTTCTGAAGCAGGTGGCCAGAACAAAGGAATGTGTGGAGAACTGCCCTGATCAGTTCAGCTTTCAAAAAGACAGTGGACTAAAGTCAACCCAGGTAAGAATTTTTTTCCCCTAGCCTGGATTCAAAGATTGGTCTTGATGTTGGGTTTTCTTTTCCTGAAGCATGCTGGAATTATAAAGCTTGCTGCTGTCTTCATACAGATGTATTTAATTTGTGTGGGCTCCACATGTTTTGCTGGATAAAATGCATTAGAGAGATGAAAGAATGAAACCTTTTAAAACTTTAATATACAGTGAAGACCTGACATGAATGTCATCCAGGATCTGTTTAGCCAACACAGATAATTGGTACAGTAATGCATTTTAAAGGTAGCATCCATTTATTTTCAAAAGAACACTTTTTGAATTATTGTATGCAAATATAACTGAGACTCAAGTAACTGGAAGTCATTTCTGATGTACCCATTACCTTTTAAGAGTCCAAGCAAACCAACATTAGTCTTACTTTGTTAGATCTCATCTGCTGAAGGGGTAGAAAGAACTGGCCTAGCAGATGAGATACTGGCTGAGATTAACTCCTGTCTGAAAATGAGTAGGTCACTTAAACTTGCTCGGCAACTCCTCGTTTGCAAAGCAATGATAGTGTTATTACACCCACCCCACAGATAATGACCAAAAGTTACATAAATACAGGCTTGCGTGGTCTGGAGGTATCTAGTGGTAAACAGTGAGTCCCTGTGAAGAACTGCTGTGCTGCTGGGCAGGTTCTGTTGGACTCAGCCTCTGAATGGGGCTGATTTTGGCTTTTGAGGAGACTCCTACACTGTTAATTTAGCTGCAGTTTAGAGCAGTTGTTTATGCACTGCCCTTCCCTCAAAGCGTTTCGTACCTAAGCCGAGCCTGTCTCTGTGTAGAGGTGCCCAGGGTGCAGCCCTCTGCAGAGGCACACAGCACTCTAATTAGAGTACAGATACTTGAAATGAGTAAAACACAACATGGAAATTAGGTGGTATTTTCTAAATGGAAACCATCCCACAGATCTGATGTGCTTACACTTAAATTACTGTTCTAATGATAACTGTTTCAGAGCAGTCTGCTCTTACCAAATGAACTACTGATTCAGTAATAACCTGAGAGGGTGCCTCATCTTCTGAATCATCATATCCTCCAGTGCCAGGGAGGGTTACACAGGAATACAGCCTAACTTTAGTTATGAGATTTCCTTAACTGGTTATCTGGTTTTACCATTTTCTAAAGTAACATGGAATTTATTCTCCAGAGCCAGCAATGCAATTTTAGATGCTTAATAAACTGATTTGTTCTTCTGCATTTAAATGAAGATCTCGATTTACCCTTGGGTTTAAAAATTTGTCTCATAGTATTCAGATAACATTTTATAAAAAGATGGCTTGAGAAAACCCTCTCAATTCCAGGAACAGTGTATTCCCTTCCACTGAAGAAATGCTATCACTAAGAAATAGTATTCCAACTGCATTAAGTTGGTTTTAAAAAAATATATATATACTTTAATAACAGCAGTGCCCGCGTTGGTTTAATAATTTCATATTGCACAGTACTCCTGCAGTTTTGACTTGCAAGGAAAAATGGTCTTAAAACTGTCAGTCAGGCAGCAGAAGTCCTTTTTTGAAGAGATGGCCCATTACTGATATCCAGGAAGTGGCAACTTCTGTCCTTCCTTTGCTTCAAAGAAGGTGTAAGAGAGGGTGATCAAATCAACTTTAGCCATTTTAGGGTCCTCTGCAAAATCTGGATCAATGTAGAAAAAGACAGGCATGTCCACTTCCTCTTGAGGATTCAGCCTCTGTTCTTCAAAACAAAAACACTGCAGGGGGGGAGCAAAAACAACCACAATTAGACAATAGTGATGGCTGGCAGTTCTACCTCTGCCAACATGAGAGAAAGCTTCGTCTTTTAATATCAACTCTCATTCCCTGTACATCCCTAAAATCCTGGGAAGGATCAATCATATGAGCAACATGACAGCAATTCTGTTCCGTTTCTTGCATTACAGGGAAAGAAATTAGCTTTTAATGAAGTGTGCAAAGGTGCCAGTGGGCCAGGCCAGCTCACCTTGTTCCCAGCTGCCCTCAGAGTCAGTGGTGCTAATTGATGGATAACTATTTTCTTTTGTGTAAAAGAAAATGCAATCTTTGCTTTGTTCACACTTACTTGTATTTTATTGAAATACTGTCCTGCTTCAAAGGGGATCACATTGTAGGTGGAGATTCCAATTATTGGTTTGTCAGTAGGATTTTTTGCTTTATAGAATGCCAGTGCAGTCTCTCCTGGTACCACCTGTGTAACACAATTGTACAGTGATTTTCTTTTTTCTTTTAATCCAGTGCAGCCCTCCACCCCTCAAACCAAGTTCTTCAGGCTTTAGCTAGAATTAATTTTCTCTTTTACTGTTTCAAATTGGTTACTTCACAAATATTTTGCTTATATACAATTCACCCCCATTCAAAAACAGTCCTACAAGGATAGGGAGGAGAAAGAAATGGCACAGGTTTAGATATACAGTTACATTCTATATTTGTATTTCAAGTATATATACACACTTTACAGTGTATATACCATATACATATGGTGTATATACATGAAGCATATATATAAATACAGTTTTGATAGCAAGCCTTGATGGAATGGTGGGAGCCAACTACACTTTGACTACACCACAGTAGGCACTTAAGTTCTGCCCTCTGGAAGCAGAAGCCACCAGCACCCAACGTGCCATCCCAAAGTGGCAGAACTGAGGGAGCACCCTGGGCTGATGTGCCTTGTTGGGTGTTTTCCAGATCAGGGCCCAGCTATGCCAGTGGATGGATGTCCACAATCGGGATGCAGGAGACAAAATCACACAAGGCAAAACCTGGCACCTTCATGGCTGGGCGTTCAGCTTTGGGTCCCTCACTTTAAAAGGACACTGTGGTGCTGGAATGTGTCCAGCAAAGAGCAACCAGGCTCGTGAAAGGTCTAGAAAACATCTGATGAGAAAGGGCTGAGGGAGCTGGGTTTGTTTAGTCTCAAGGAGGCTCAGGGGGGACTTCATTGCTCTCCACAACTCCACACAAGGGTGTAGTGAGGTGGGGGCAGGTCTCTTCTGCGGTGCCTGCAGTGAGAGGACCAGAAATAGCCTTAAACTCAGACAGGGGAGATTCAGATTAGATATTAGAAAATTTTTCACTGTTCGTGTGGTCAGGCTTGGAACAGGGTGGTCAGGCTTGGAACAGGTTGCCCAGGGAATGGTGGAGTCACCATCCCCGCAGGTGTTCCGGAGGCGTGTGGATCTGGTGGGGGGTGATGTGGTTTGGTGGTTTAGGGGTGGCAGTGCTGGGTGGATGGCTGGCATGGGTGATCTC